TCGGAATAACGAGATGGAACTTCCCGCGACAAAGTTACGAATAGGATTAGTGATATTTCCTCTTATTCTACTTACAATAGCTCCAATCCTTTATCTCTTTTTTGGTTATCCTATCTATTATTCAACATCATCAATATACAAACATTTATCGAATTCATCATCATCGGCAATATCTTATCCATCGCCGCTTCCATCTAGGTATAATCATTCATCTAGTTCATCATCATCAGATTATTATAAGACATCATCATCAGAAGATTCAGAACCATCGTTGTATGATAATGGTTATGACGACACATATCATGATCCCAAGTCATCATCTTTGCATAACAATGATCGTCTATCCATCTCATCATTGAATGTTGATCATCAAGAAACTCCTAAGAAAGAGCGTCGCCGGAAAAAGAGAAAACGGAACTGCGATATATTCTCCGGCGAGTGGATCCCAAACCCTGAAGCCCCGTACTACACAAACACGACATGCAGGGCGATACACGAACACCAAAACTGCATGAAGTTTGGGAGACCTGATTTAGGTTTCATGAAATGGAGATGGAAACCAAAAGAATGTGAGCTTCCTCTGTTTGATCCTTACGAGTTTCTGGAGATAGTTAGAGGAAAAAGAATGGCGTTTGTTGGTGACTCCGTTAGCAGAAACCACGTTCAGTCTTTGATCTGCCTACTCTCTCGGGTACCAATTCTCTCATGCTTATTCATTTTATGACAATACTTAATTCATTTAATATACATTACTTGCTTTTCAAGTATTTCACTATTCACTATTTCCCCTTGATTATATTTTTTAAAAAAATTTTCAGTTGGTTGACAAAAAAAAACTATAGTTTGTGATTTAAGATTTTCAATAGTTAGCACGTTCGAGTTTTTCTAATGGTCATCATTGCAACTGTTCCCACCAAATTAAATAAATTCATGCAAATGTAACCTTAGTTTAAATATTCATTTCAGGTGGAACATCCTGAGGATGACTCACAACAGGACTTTAATTTCCAAAGATGGAAATACAAAACGTACAACTTCACGATTGCCACATTTTGGACAACCCATTTGGTTCGTGCTGAAGAAACCGAGACTGGTCCGGCAGGTCCTAATTCATTTTACAATCTCTACCTCGACGAACCTGACCCAACTTGGGCTTCCCAAATCGTTGAGTTCGATTACATCATCATCTCCTCTGGACAATGGTTTTTCCGACCACTCTTCCTTTTCGACAAACAAAAAAGGATAGGATGCTTGTATTGTTACATTCCCGGAGTCAGAAATGTCGGGGCACATTTCGCGTATAGAAGAGCATTGAGAACAACGTTTAAGACCATTCTTGGATTAGAGAATTTTAAAGGAGAAGTGTTTCTAAGGACATTTGCACCTTCACATTTTGAAGATGGAGAATGGGATAAAGGTGGAAATTGCTTGAAAAAGCGACCCTATAGGTATATTGTTCATCCGACATTATAGTTTTCTTCTAGAATAAGCATTAGGACTTTTGTGGTTTAGTTCGATTTTATACGGTTCAATCATTCGTCACCTCCTAACAGAGAACATCTATTTGGGTTTCTTTTGTGTTTAGGAGCAATGAGACAGAGTTAGAAGGTATGAATCTAGAGACACACAGCATCCAACTCGATGAATTTCGCATTGCGAAAAGAGACAAAAACAAAAATAATGGATTGAATTTGAGATTACTAGATGTAACACAAGTGATGTTGTTAAGACCAGATGGACATCCGAGCAGATTTGGACATAGACCGGAAGAGAAAGTTGTATTATATAATGACTGTGTACATTGGTGTCTTCCAGGTCCAATTGATTCATGGAACGATTTTTTACTAGATATGTTAAAAAATAGAGATTTAACGAGATTAAAATAGTATTAGAATCTAAATTTTCTCAACAAACCCCGTTTTGATCAGTTGTAATTATATACTAGTATGTTTGGTTAATTACGATATGGTATTTAGAAGATCTCTTCTCTTTTTGGCACAAGTTTCATATTATATGAGATATAAACTTTTTAAGTAATCTAAGATCTTAATAACACATTCAAAATTTAATTATATGTATCTAATAAACTGGTATAAATAACTAATGACATAAAGTAAAACTTGAATAATCGGCTATATTTTCAAAATCAAGTCAACGTTTTCCAAGTAACTTGTCAAATGTCAACCGTACATACATTCATGTGTATGTTTACATCAAGAGGTCCATGCAATGATTTAAGAATTCAAATAAATAAAGTCTATTTGAATTAGGAAAATAATCTAGACGTATTTGACACAACATTAAAATTTATTAAAAGAATAATAGTCATAACGTATGAATACAAATTATACAACTTTTACAAACAAGAAAACAAACGAAAATAGTCAACCCACCATGAAAACGCTACCGTTTCTTGTTGGTTTAAATGTAAATCACCGGCGATCAACGCTACCGGTAACAAGATATCCAATCCCGTGACGCCTCGCCGGAAAAACCATAAACAAAAGACTACACATAACCCCAACACCCACCGGAACAATGTCCAAGACATGTTTCGTCTCTGCCTCCGGCGACGGACAAAAGCAATCAGTTATATACTTATCTCTCAACGCAACCGCTCCAAACACTAAAACCGACAACGTAGCGTGGATCCAATCAACGACCCGCATCCGATATTTGGCTAAATCGGGTAAACCCAATCCGGACGGGTCAGGATAGTCAACGACCCACATGCCTTTGAACGTGACGAAACCGAAGTAGATTGTTCCATCCTCGGCTTTAACGCTATCGGTGAAGGAGCTGACGAAGCAAGACGCGGCTAAGAGGAAGAGGAGAACGGCGGTTAGGAAACGCGTTGCGTGGTCGCAAACGCCGTTTGAAGTGAAAACCGGCGTTAGGAGTTGAAACGCGAGGAGTGTTCCCGTTGGTAGGAGGTTTGAGAGATTGGCTGCTGACGTCAGGGTGTTTGACATGGCTCGCTGAGATATCGACATCTGTCTCTTGAGCACCCGTGAATCTGACGGTGTCTGATCGGAAAACTCGTCGAGCTCCGGAGCAGGAGTGTTTGCGTTTCTTAGCCGTAGGGCAGACATCTTTTTAATTTTGATTATTTTTAGGTTTCGTTGGATTGAGCATTGGTGATGATAATGATGATGATGTTTTTTATAGATGCTAAGACATAGAAAACAGCTAATCATAACTTAGTTTACGCATAATGGATTGTCTGTATTTAATTATTCTCTCGGTTAAAAAAAAAAAAAAAAATTATTCTCTCGGTTCGGTTAACTTATACGATTAATATTGTACATAAAAAATAATACGAAGACTTTTAAAAGTTTGAACTAGATAGAACATAACACCAATTTGAACTAGATAGAAGATGAAAGAAACCCGCAATGCATATTGTCCTAATCATACAACAGCAGATTCATAACATATAGAAAATTATCTATTGAAAATTACTCGTGGAGGATGGGCTGAATCCAGAGATCAGAAATCAAACCGTCATAAGAGAGTGTTGAGAAGGTTTGGTCGGGAATATTGTAGAGATAAACCTGATTCAATTCAAAGAAGTAGATGGAGTTGGGCTTAAGTCCGGGATACATTCTCGCGGGGACACAGAAAGGCTCGTTCCTTCCTAGAAGATGCAGAGATCCCCAATGTCTTGGACATAAGACTCCACCCGCGTAGTTGGATGACGCATATACAACATGAACCACCTAGTCCCGGTTTTCACCTCCGAACGATCCAAGTCTCGCGTCTCCCCAGGGAAGACGGGTTTCCCCTTAGAGGTTTGCAGAGCGTATTTGACAATGATGAATAAATCGCCAGAGGGTGACTCCACCAACTGTTTGCTCCGAGTGCACCTTCTCAGAAGCTCGAACTCATACTCTCCCATCTTTGGATGCTTTAAGGGTCCGAATTGACGGTAATAAGTCAGGCAAGGGAAGCTAGGTTCGGGCATATTCCTACCGTCCTTGCGGAAGAATGTATCAATGGGAGGCGTGAGATAAAAGGTGGCATCGTTATTGGAGTAGAAAACGAATGATTTGCTGGCTCGGCTGGAAAGAGACAGCTCGTGGCGCCATTGACCGTCACGGATTGTACAGTAGGAGACAAAGCTTCCCCAAAATTTGACGGCTAGGATACATTCTTGGTCAGGGTTATCAGGGGAAGAGGAGAGAGAGACGTTACGAACCTGAGAAGTCGCCATGGACTTTGAAAGGTCAGGAGCATGGTAAGAAGGATAGGGAGGGATATGACTTTGTGAGTGGATTTGGGAGCTGAGGGATTGAACATGTTGGTGAGATGTACGGTTAGATCTTCTTCGTTCATCCTGATCATCCAACCACGAGAAGATCCGATGTTGCTTGAAAGGTAGATGCTTTCAGGGATCCTCTGCTCTGCCATCGTCACTCGTTTCTGATTTATTGGGTCGTAGTAGTTGAAATTCGCTAATTTGTATCTCTTGCTTAATCTTCTGATACCATCCATCGAGAGTAGCATATATGGAGCTGGTGATAAAGAAGATGACGTCGTCAACAAGCGAATTCCTCCTCTTCGAATCTGACTTCGAGAAGAGAAGAGAGAGAGGTCAAAGAACCCTACTCGCGACATTCTTTTCACCAAAAGCAAGTAAGCAACGACGACATTATTAATTATTATCCTCACTCTTTCTCCTCATCTGTGGCCAATTTAGGGTTGCTTCAACACGAGATTGATGGCTTCTGTCTACAGTTGCCTGTTGGATCACATTTTCTTGGGCTTCTTCGTTTTTAGCCCACTTAGGTTGAGCCCAGCTTATATATGTTATGATTTAAACCCAACACTGTTTTGCTCATCTGTTCTGCCTGTTTTCTCGTTTGCAGTTTTTTTTTCTTTTGGCTAAGTCAGTAAAGACCACACAATTTTGTTTGCCATTTTCGCCGGAGCAGGCTGTGACACTAGCCATGGTGCTTGACAAATTTTTGAACACCATACTCATGCAATAATCGTGGATAGAGATAGAATGATGCATCATATTATCCTAATCATGACAAGAGCAAATCCAGGACTAACACTTGATGTGAATTAAATGAGAGATTACTAGTGCAGGATTGGGGGAAGCCAAAAAGGCGTAAGCAGATGCTCTTGATTAGGGAGTTGATCGATGTTGTGGGTGGCAATATCATACACAGAAACGTGAGTCTTCTCGGTGAAGTAGATGGAGTTAGGCTTAAGGCCAGGGTACACACTGGCGGGGATACAGAAGGGTTCGTTCTTACCAAAGAAAATGCAGAAATCTCCAATGTCTGCCACGTAAGATTCGGCTCCTTTGTCAATGTCGTGCTTGTACAGCTCAAACCGCTAGGTCTCTAGCTCATAGACATCAGATTCCTTTTGGCAGAATAAGATGTGTTTCTTCACCGTTTGCATGTACCGCATGATGGTAAAAATGTCGCCAGAGGGTGTCTCCACCAAGAATCTGCTGTCGCCAGAGGGTGTCTCCACCAAGAATCTGCTGTCGCCGCCGGAGCACCCTAGCAGCAGCTTAAGCTCGGAATCCGACAACTTCCCCGGTGGCTCAAAAGGTCCGAGTTGCATGAAATAAGCAACAAGAGGGAATCCGTGTTTGTCCTTATGTTCGTATTGTTCAAAGTTTCGGGAGTGATCTGACCGTACAGCAGTCGACGGCGTGATGTAGAATATCGAAGCTGTGTTGGAGTAAATGAGGGAGGAAGCCTTGAAAGCGAAGGGAAGAGAGTTAATGTGTGACCATGACCATGACGAGTCATCATCACTGGGACTGCGTCTACAAAAGGAGATGCAGCTTCCCCAAAACTTAATGGCAGCGATGCAGTCTTCTTGGTCAGGGGAAGATGAGAGAGATACGTTACGAACAAGCTCAGTCAAAGGTGTGGACTCCGACGGGTCGAGAGAATAAGGCAAAGGAACAAGGGGAGGCAGAGAGATGACCTTGCGAGCGGATTTGGGAACTGAGGGATTCAACATGTACGGTTAGATCTTCGTTGTTCATTCGAATCATCCAGCCACGTGAAGATCCTATGTTTCGAGAAAGGTGGATGCTTTCGGGGATCCTCTGCTCTTCCATGCTCACTCGTCTCTTCTTCACCAAATCGTAGTAATTGAAATTCACGACTCTCTCTACACTGCCGTCGCCAGGAGAGTCTCCTCCGACAACATCATCCATGTGAAGTAACAGACATGGGTATGATGGTAAAGATGACGTCGTCAACAAACGAATCCCTCTTCGAATCTGACATTGACTGATATGAATTCTGAAACCAGCTAATTTGGATATCCTCCTTGCCAACATTTCTTGTCTTAGACCCCGCAAATCCGTCTTAAACCAGCTAATTAGGGTTTCTTTTTCAGTGCTCTGTTTTGTCCCTTTTTGATCATTTTCTTTCTTTGGAAAAATTGCAGAAAACCCTCATTTATTATTTTAATATTTTTTTAAAAGTCACTAAAATAAAGTCCACAAACAAACAACTGATTGCCAAAACGTCGTCGCTCTTGCAAGATTCCACAGGTAAGTAAAGGAAAAAGTGGACCAAAGAAACAAAACCCATACAAAAGTCAGAATCTAAATCTCTCTCCGGCGATCTCATCCATGGCGGAAGGCGGCGAAGATCCCCAGCGGTTGAAGAAAATTGCGGCGGCTGCCTTCGACTACGAAAACGACGCTCGATGGGCTGATTACTGGTCCAATATCCTCATCCCTCCTCACATGGCTTCTCGTCCCGAGGTCGTCGACCATTTCAAGCGCAAATTCTACCAACGCTACATCGTCAGTACTATCTTCCCTACTCTTGAATTTGCTTTTCTATTCTTCGTTACTTTGAGTTTCGAGTTTGACTCTGTCTTGTGTGCGCTACTGATTTGGGGATTTGTGTGTGAACTTTGAATCTTAGGTTTTACAAGTGTGTTTGTTGATTTTACGATTGGGAAGTTTTGATGTTCTTTCTGCTAATTTGCTTTGTCCTTGGGTCCGAATCTCCTCGTGATTAGGTTATTAAGCGGATGGTAGGGCTTTTCAAGTTTTCATTGAACACTGTGCTCACTTTGTTGATTTCATATTCGTTGGGTCTTGTTTATAATATGTGAAGCCCTCGTGTTCTTCTTCTTTTCTTTTCCCTATGAAGATTTCCTTTTAAATGTATTGATCTGGATTTGTTTCTAAATCTGGGTGCTTACACTGCCATGGCCTTTTTTTTTGTAGGATCCTGATCTTGTTGTGGAGCCTATGTCGACTTCATCTTCGTCTTCACAATCTGCCAGACCATCTGCTACATCTGCATCTTCTAATGCAAATGAACAAGTTCGTTCACGGAACTCAGGTCAACTTTCTTTGTCTGATATATTCTTGAAATCAGATGAGCTTTTCTTATTACTACCAAAGACTGACTTAATTGTGTGCCTCAGGATCGGTTCCTCGAACCTCTGGGCCATCTGCTACGACAGGTGCAAACCCAAGTTCAATGCGCTGGGATCAGCAGACGATTCAGTTTTCAGTCAATGCTTGGGTAAGATAATATTTTCCAGTTGCAGTTTCTTGTTCGTATTGCACAATTCTAAAAAAAGATCTAGCTCTTTATTAGGGCTGTGAGTTGGGATTGCTGTTGCTATCTGCTGTTCACTCCTTAACTTGGACAGTAATGAGATGGTGTATGGTGTATTGTCGTCATCTTTATGTTCTTCTGTCTTGCTGAATGTTTGTTGTGTACTCAGATATGAACTAAGGGAGACTAATGCTTTTTGTCTGGCATGCTGCACGTAACTATTTCCCGTTTCATGTCTCTAAATCCATTACATCGTTTGCAGGTTTTTGTTATAGCTGTGCTGGCAGTGCTACCACTAATACCAAAGAACCTCTCAAATAGGGCTTATCGTCTATCTTTCATGGGAACTGCGTGCTCATCTCTATATTCCTTATACTCCTTATACGGGGTAAGCCATGTGATTTCACTTTTTTTTTTTTCTCTCTAGTGATCATGCAATGCAAAATTTTGTTACATATGAATTCCTATTTTATAATCTGCAGAGGCCAAGGGCATGGAATATGCAAGGGCTACAAATTTATTTTCAGTCAATTGTGGCAGCAAAGGATTTCATCTATTTCATCTACTGCCTTACATTCGTCACTTCACATCTCTGTCTCAAGTGTAAGAATTGATTGAAAACTCTCTTGTGAATTTCTTCAAATCACATACATTCTTATGACTAGTCTCCTTATCAATCTGTTGTAGTTGCTTTGATTCCCATCTTGTGCCGGGCACTTGAACAAGTAGCCAAGTTCTTGAGGCGTAACTTTGGTCGGTCCACTATATACAGGTAGTTACATCCAGCTGATTAGCAGGTTTTAATGTAGTAGTCGGTTCCATGTGTGGATTCTTACTGATGCTTATGTCGTTCTATGTGTCTTGTTCTGTAATGGTTATCAGAAAGTACTTGGAAGACCCTTGTGTGTGGGTGGAGTCAAACACTACTACCCTCAACATCCTGTCATCGCAGGCTGAGATAGCCATTGGCTTCCTTCTGATCATATCTCTACTCTCGTACGCTCTTTGAACCTGTTAGAAGCGATAATAGTTTATTCGCACTATGTTCCCAGCTTTGCATTAGCTGGTTTCGCTTATCTGAACAAAATTGTCATTTTACTTACTGCAGATGGCAACGCAACATTATACAGACGTTCATGTACTGGCAGGTGCGTCTCTTCTTTTGGTTATAGTCATCAGTTATTTGTGATGGCTCAACATCTCCAAGTAGAACCCCTGTATTCTTTGTTTAATTTGATCAAGTGAACATATAGGAACAACCATTTTCATAAAAACACCTTTTTTGTTGCTTTGTTGATGATCTTAGTCTCTGAAAGTGTTAGATGGGCTAAGAGCATTAGGTTAGTAATGAGAACTGTGTTTTGCTTCTTTTGTTAAAAATCTTTTGTTTGTGTCATGAGAATCCGTCAAATTCAAAACCCTTTTCGTCATATTCTTCTGGAGCAAAGATATAGGTAGTTTCCAGGATTGTTGGTTGGAGAGTTGTTCTCATGAAATGGGTTTTGTTATTTTGGTGGCAGCTATTGAAGCTGATGTATCAAGCACCGGTAACAGCGGGTTACCACCAGAGCACATGGAGCAAAATCGGGAGGACAGTGACTCCGATTATCCAACGTTACGCTCCCTTCTTGAACACTCCGGTGAGTGCCGTTCAGAGATGGTGGTTCAGGTGATAAAAACAAACAAAATGCAGAGATGACTTTTGAAACCCATTGGAAAAACCAGAAGATTATAGCGTTTAACAATCCATCTTTCATTTCATCTTCAGCGTAAAGTAGATTCTTCTTCTCTTTAAACGTTTTTATTTTTTTCGCTAAACCCTGAAATAAAAATCTCTTATTACTAAAGATTTTGACTTACTTTGGGTTTCTAGTTTAGTTATATATATGTGACTAATTGCCTTTCACCTTTTGCATAGGGATCATTTGAAGATTTTATAAAATCTGATTATATGAGTGATTATATAACTTTTTCTCAAATATCAAAATCATCTAAAATATCATCTGGCCCCTAGAAAATCGGTTTTATTGTGTAAGCTAAAATTATCGTATTTATTAAAAGGTGATATTTATAGGAATTATAGTTGATTGGTTTGTGAGTCGTTACACATGTATGTAGATGAGTGTTTTTGTTCGAAAAAAAGAAATCTAAAATAATGTACATTGGGGAGAGGAGTATTAGTATTATTTAGATAAACCAAATTTGGGAAGAAGGGATTTTAATCATTGATTCAGATTCCCTTCATTGGTGCGCGTGCCACCGCATAAATCACCCAACACGTTCCAAAGTCTAGTACCAGCAACACCACGTGGCGTTCATACACAACTATACGAATACGAGTGTCGAGACATCAAAACACCAATAGCGTTTACGTTAGTGGTTACTCTATTTTGCGTTCGAACGCAATTCATCATTCTAATCACAATTTTATACTAATATTTGCTGCAGCACTCCTCAAAGTGCTGTTAAAAGAAAAGAAAACTCCTCGAAGTACCATTATTAATGAATACTCCGTAGTAGATTACAAAAAAGAACTTGACACGACGCCGTTTTGAACTCATTATATCTTTGAGAGAGAGAGGGAGAGCCGCACAGGAGTGAAAGCTTTTCAAATATTTGAAATAATAAAACAGAGCCGATCAATTTTAAAAGCAAAGACACGAGGAGGAGGAGGAAGGAAACAAAACTCGAGATCCAATCATTCTCCGACTAATTTCACGGCGGAGATGCAGTTGTCTCCGGAACGATGCCGTCCGATGTCTTTAACAGCGTCGGAAATCAAAGAGGCTTGCTCAGCGAATTCCGACGAAATGGAGCTGCTTCACGGCTCCAACAGGTTATCTTCACCGGAACATGTTCGTAGAAGAGTCTCTGGGAATTCTTCTGCGGAAGGTTCGCCTCGAATTTGTCGGCAGCAGTCGTTCGGTCGCGACATAGGCCATGCAGCTGCCGAGACGTATTTAATTACTCGGCTTAGCTTCAACCTTCTTGGATATCTCGGGTACTCAATTCGAATTCTCCCCCCCAATTTTGTTTAATTTTGTTTCTAGAGCTCACAATTAGTCTTCTGGATGAATTATTCTTAGCACAATTTTTATGATAATAAAATGAGTTTTCTGATAATTAATAATTTAGGACATGTGATGATGTTTCAGTTTTTGATTTTGTCGGATTCTCTGTAAGAAAAGTTCTATTTTAATTGTTAAAAGTTTTTGTTCAGGGTAGGTTACCGGTGGATCACAAGATTACTAGCTCTTGCTTGTTATGCAATGCTCCTTATGCCTGGTTTCCTTCAAGGTTATCCCATCTTCGTTGCTCTGTCTCTTTAACGAGCTGTTTTACACTAACAAAGCTTTGTTATTTTCTTCTGCAGTTGCATATCTTTATTTTTTCTCATCTCAAGTCAGGAGGAGTATAGTTTATGGAGGTCATCCAAGGAATAGGTATCTCAGTCTTCTTCTTTCACTTCATATCACAAATGATTGGTATTTAGTACATGTCATTGATTATTTGGCAGGCTGGATTTGTACTTACCGCCAACTAATGATGGCCTGAAGCCGGTTGTTGTTTTCGTGACTGGTGGAGCTTGGATTATTGGGTAAGCAATTCACGGTTCTTGTATCGTGGTTAACATCTTCTTTCATAAGATAAAAGTCACACTCATAGTTTCATACTTGCCTATCCTTTTAGTTACAAAGCTTGGGGTTCTCTCTTGGGGCTGCAGCTAGCAGAAAGGGACATAATTGTGGCATGTCTAGATTACAGGTAAGCAAAGTTATCAATTCCTTACCATTGTTACTTGTCCTGGATTCTATCAGTGTAGAATGAAATCAAATCTATATCAGCTTGGAGCTATTTAGGAATTAAAACTTTATTAATAATATGCAAGCATCCAATGCATTAACCAAGCAATCCCCTGTATTTGTTTCAGAAACTTTCCTCAGGGCACAATTAGTGATATGGTAAGTGATGCCGCGCAAGGAATCTCATTTGTCTGCAATAACATCTCTGCATTTGGAGGTGATCCTAACAGGTTAGAGCTCATCAACTCTTTTTTTGTTCAATTTTCTATCTTTCATGGGCTCCTGTGACCGAACCAGTGTCTTCTTGTGTGTGTAGAATCTATTTGATGGGGCAATCAGCTGGTGCACATATCTCTTCTTGTGCTCTCTTTGAGCAAGCTATTAAAGAATCAAGACGGGAGAGCATCTCATGGAGTGTATCTCAGATAAAAGCTTACTTTGGTTTATCTGGAGGGTATATTTCTAAACTTGGTGTTACTATGAAGCTTAAAACTTTTTTCAAAGGGTTTCTTTTCCAGTAATCAGAATCTACTCACCATTTGCAAACTTGAACAGGTACAATCTCTTCAATCTGGTTGAACACTTCCACAACCGGGGCTTGTATCGTTCAATTTTCCTAAGGTAAACCATCTGATCAATCATGTCTTTCTAACGTTGCATCTTCCAAATAACCCAAAACCTAGAATGGAATCAATTGTATCTAAAAAACAACAACTTTCATCAGATTGAGAGAAGAAGACGAAAAATTAAATAATAAAGAGCTAGCAACATGTATACTATTTCACTTTTTTTAGAGTTTTTCAGCCAATCAGAAGGCTCTATTTCAGACCCACTCGCACAAAGTGCGCGTTGCGCGAGTGTGAGCAATTCTGTAGGTGTACTACCCCTTTCCAAATCATGCCTTTTTCAATCGACGCACTTGTCTTCAAAATCCCCATCGCGTGAATATTTTTTTGTTTTCTTCTCTTAACCAGTGTAAACCGAACCCAAAAACAATTCTAATTTCAATACCATGTAAACCAAACCGAAATCAATTGTAATTTCAATACCATGTAAACCGTGACTTATGACTCTCTTTTTTCATCAACTCGCAGCATAATGGAAGGAGAAGAGTCCTTTGAACAATTCTCTCCTGAAGTGAGATTGAAAGACCTGAGTGTAAGAAAAGCTGCAGCCCTCTTACCTTATATTACACTCTTTCATGGATCCGCAGATTATTCAATTCCACCTGAAGCAAGGTTAGCTCACTCTCTTTTATATATATATATATATATATATATTACATATATGAAGCCACCAATCCAACTATATGCTAGTCATCTTCTTAGACCAGAAAAGTGTTCTTTCTTTTGTAGCAAAACTTTTACAGATGCTCTTCGAGCTGCTGAAGTGAAAGCTGAGCTAGTTATGTACAAGGGTAAAACTCATACCGATCTATTTCTTCAGGTAAGCAATAGAAACTACTACCATTAAAGATCATATTCTACATACATAGCTCAATGTTGTCTAAACACATTACAATTTCATTGCAAGGATCCTCTGAGAGGCGGTAAAGATGAGCTATTTGATCATATAGTCTCTATGATACACGCCGATGACAGTTACGCATTGAGAAATGATGCTGTTGCGCCACCGAGAAAACGGCTTGTTCCAGAGTTCTTGCTGAAACTGGCCGGCAAGGTCAGCCCTTTTTGAATAGAAAAACTAAATCTTCGATACGGTTCTGGTAGCTTCTTGATATTCGATGTATTTGTTGTTGTTTGTTGTTCTGTGTTTTCTTCTTCTTCGATTTGTATATTTTGATAGCAACTCTCACATGTTGATGTGATTGAAGGCTAAGTCTCTTTTCATCGGTAAATATATCTAGAGCTCAAAATAAATGGATTTCATCCATCCACTGATCGAAAAGCGTCAAACTGAAGCAACCTCTCAGATTATCAGAGTATCATATTCAGATATTCTGGCTTGCAAATCAAAGATATGCTGGTAGTTGCAGTCACATAATAATAGAGAAACTCCAAACACTAGTGGTTCCTAGCAGTCACAAACACAAAACCATGATCTACATTGTGCACGAAGCGACTAATAGATACAGATGCTTTCTAGGAAGCTTTTGTCATTCAGTTTCTTTTAACAAGATTCCTACCATACCTGAAGAAACCACATTAAGCCGGTAGCTACTAGCTACTTAACAATGAGATCAAAGTATTCTCAGGTATAAGTTAGCACATATCATGAAGCTAGCAAAATGGGGATCTTGCAAGAAGGGATCAAATCATCTTACACGCCCTTTTCCTTTTGCTCTGCAATATGCTTGTGAACTCTCATACTCTTACTTCTCATGGGCTCTATCATCTTCTCTGTCTCTTCAATTGTCTGTTTTGGCAGTTGAACCTCTATGGCCTCAAACCAATCTCTTAGTTTCATTTTTCCTAAATCTACTTCTACCCTCTCTACATTCTTATTGCTCCAGCCCTGCTCAACCTTTTCCTCATCACATCCATCATCTAATGTCGCAATTCCAGCCTCCTCGACCTTGCACTCACTTTCCTTTTTATGACATTCTTCTTCAATTTCTTGTAAGTTGTCTGTCTCTCCATCTTCTCTAACAGTACAGTTCAGGTCATCTTCTCCTAAGGTGCTCTTCTTCCTCAACTCGATCTCCACCTGCTCTACCCTCTTAGACCCATCACCAACTCTCTCATCTTCTTTATCACATTTTTCATCACTTCTTTCACTGCAACCTTCTTCGTGTCCATTTTCTTCTTCAATATCTTGTAAGTTCTCTGTTTCTCCAGCTTCAGTGCAATTCAGGTCATCTTCTTCAACTGTGCTCTTCTTCCTTAACTCAATTTCCACCTGCGCTACCCTCATAGATCCATCACCATCTCTCTCTTCTTCTTTATCACATTTATCATCACTTCTTTCACTGCAACCTTCCTGAGTTTCATTATCGTTTTCTTCTTCAATATCTTGTAAGTTCTCTGTCTCTCCATCCTCTCTAACAGTACAGTTCAGGCCATCTTCTACTAATGTGCTCTTCTTCCTTAACTCAATCTCCACCTGCTCGACTCTCTTAGATCCATCACCTTCCCTCTCATCTTCTTTATCACATTTGTCATCACTTCTTTCACTGCAACCTTCCCGACCTTCATTATCATTATCTTCTTCAACATGACAGTTCACCAAAACCTCTTCTCCGGCATCATCATTTATAGTTTCCATCTCCACAACGCTCTTGGACGGCTCCTGATCCACTTTCTTCCTCTTTGCACGGCTTTTCCGGGCTTGGTTCAGGACCATCTCCAACTCCAGAAAAGAATCTCCACCAAGTTCAGTCTTCTTGCTTCTGGTAGACCTAGTAGTTCTCATCTCATTTTTAACTTCTAAAGCAGTATCCTCACTCTTTACATACTCCAATCCAAAACATGCATTTTCAATCTGCTTGCTCCTTGCCACTCTCTTCCTGCTTTTGACCTCTGAGATTTCCACTGCCCTGGGAGTATCCTCAACTTCCAATTTGATTGAATTCAGACCCAATTTCTCCACACTCTCACTGTTCTTACCTCTCCGAGCCCTAGAGTTGCCTTTTTTCTCCTCCACAACTTCTTCTTCCTTCGTAACTGCACTGCCTGCGTTCTTCCGAGGCCTCCCAACCCTAGATTTGACCTTCTTCTCAATTTCCACCTCCAATTCCTCTTCTTTATCGGCGATATCGTCCAGAGTCTTCTTCCTCGAAGCCCTAGTTTTCTTGGGCAGTTCATTTTCCTCTTGCTTCGACGATCCACGCGTGCGCTTTGGTTTCTCCTGAACCGACTCAATAGGATCCGGATCCGAAACAGCAAGACGCTTGTTGTTCCTCCTTGGCCTGGGCGGAAGCTTATGCTCCTGCGGCGCCTGAACAACATCACTCACAAAGTTCACCAAAATGGAAGTGTACTCACCAAGCTTAATTTCGTCTCCATGGCTAAGATTGATGGGCGTATCTGGGTCGATAGTCTCCGAGTTCAATATGGTGCCGTTGGAAGACCCAAGATCGTGGATTATCCAGTTCTCGGAATCGGAGACGATCCGGAGGTGCTTGGTAGAGATTCCAGCGTCTTTTATGGCGATTTCATTACCACGGACGAATCGACCGATCCGGATAGTGGATCCGGGTTTAAACCCTAGAGAATCGCCAGCTCTTGGACCCTGGGTGAAGTCAAGCTTCAGCAATGGCGGAACCATCGTTTACTACTAAGCGTCTCGGCGAAGCTTTTTTGGCTTTGATTCAAACAAATGGGAATTTGAAATTTCGGATTATGTCAAACTCAAAATCGAACGGAACAGTGCTGAAACACAGAACAGAAACCCTTTCAAGCCCAATGGGCTTTTTCATTGGAACTATGAATATAAGATCCAGTCCATATGTTACCAAAATATCTTTTTGTAACAGCCCATCCAATTATTTTTTCAATACCCCTTTTCAAAAATGCCCCCTTTGAGAGTCCATTTTTAAGTTTGCCCTCTTTTAATTTTTAATGACCATTTTACCCTTATTTGAAACAAAATTATGTCCACAAAATACAAAATATTTTTTGGCGGGAAAAGTGATCCCGCAATTTTCCCGCCAAAACACTTGTAAAAACCTTTAAAAACCCTTGTAAAATTTTCCCGTAAAAATTTTTCCCGCCAAAAAATTTTCCCGCCAAAAAAATTTTTTTGCGGGAAAAGTGATTCCGCAATTTTTTTTGCGAAATTTTTTTGGCGGGAAAATTTTTGGCGGGAAAAATTTACAAGGTATTTTAAAGGTTTTTTACAAGGTATTTACAAGTGTTTTGTAAGGTTTTACAATGTATTTTAAAAGGTTTTACAATGTACTTTTAAGGTTTTATAAGGTATTTATAACTTGTAAAACCTTATAAAAAACTTGTAAAACCTTATAACTTGTAAAAACCTTATAAAATAGCTTGTAAAATCTTATAATATCTTATAAATACCTTGTAAATACGTTGTAAAACCTTTTAAAATACATTGTAAAACCTTATAAATACCTTGTAAAAAACCTTTAAAATACCTTGTAAATTTTTGGCGGGAAAAATTTTCCCGCCAAAAACTTAACGCCAAAAAAATTGCGGAATCACTTTTCCCGCAAAAAAAAATTTTTGGCGGGAAAATTTTTTGGCGGGAAAAAATTTTACGGGAAAATTTTACAAGGTATTTTAAAGGTTTTACAAATTTTTACAAGTGTTTTGGCGGGAAAAATTGGGGGATCACTTTTCCCGCCAAAAAATATTTTGTATTTTGTGGACCTAATTTTGTTATATTTCCTTATATATTTATGATATCTTTTATTAAAAGAAGGGTAATTTAGTCATTTTGTACATAAAAGGGGTATTTTTAAAAATGGACATCCAAAGGGGGCATTTTTGAAAAGGGGTATTAAAAAAGGGGCATTTTTGTGAGTCTCCCAATATCTTTTTGTAACAGCCCATCCAATTATTTTTTTCTTTTTTTTTGGTGATATTTTATTAATGCTTTGTATTTTTTTTTAGTGATAATTTATGCATTATCTATATATACATTTTTGGAGTACACTTAGCAAATAAATCCTAGAGTTGCTAAATATTTACAAAAAATGCCATTATCATAAATGTTTATCTATTTATTAATATTACAAAATATTTTTGAAAAAATCTTTTAAAAACTATGGCTTCCAAATATAGTAACAAATTGATTTTGTTTCTAAATTTTCCTAAAACATCTCTACCTAATTTAAACATTATTGTATGATTCATCTTTCACTTTTATATGATCTTATAGTAATTTATTTTGAATTTATATAAAATACATATAATTAATAAAATAATAAAAAATTTCTGCATATAATGTGATTAAAGTTTTTTAAAACGGACATATATTACTCAATTGATGAAGAAAAAATATGTGTACAATGTCCCACATTGCTTAAAAAATTGGGCAATGGTTTAGAGTCATACTATAAAAAAGACCAAAATAATTCTGAATACAAAACGGGGTATACCACGGGTGAAACCTAGAATTAAAGTAAAGATATAATTATATAATCTTAAATGCTAAACAAACAAAACAGATATAATTTAAAATTTAAAAAATTTAGTTTAAAAAAATCGACCCAGGATATATCGCGGGGTAAGTTTTTTTTGATACAAAATAATATCAAATTATTATAATAGTCCATGATTATAAATGTCTGCCAATATTAATACTATATCATTTCTACACCTACAACTCTTCTAAGTACACATATTTCGACGATATTAATTATAATATAAAATAATTAAACGAATTTTTTTTATTTAATATCAATTTAAAAATCCAATAAATTATAAATTATTATATAAAATAAATAAAATATAATTTTGCCCCGCGATGTACCTTGGGTTAAATTCTAGTATAATTTTAAAATTGAAACAAGAAATGAGTTATAGACTTATAGTTGATTTATGTATATGTAAATCCAAAACAAAGGGAGTAAAAATATTCATTTCATGATCTGATTATTTCCCAAAAAAATAAAATTATAATTTTCGCAATTTGTTTAAGTGAACAACTGAAAAATCAACTTATGAACAATACTCCACAATTCAAAAAAAAGAAATATATTTCATGGTAACTGGAAGTGATGTTGATATAGCTAACATGCACTTGTGGCTCATGTGCATCCTAATCTCTTCATAAAAGGCTTACTTGTCATATTCTCATTGGTTGCTACAGATTCAACACTTTGCCATGTCAGCTTTATTCATCTCATCCATCAACAAAACAACAATTTGAACTAAAATGAATTTACTTTTATGTCTGTAGTTTGTCTAATCTACCTGATCGATAACGATAAGAAAAGTTTCCATCGTTGCTTAAAAGCAAAAACTAAAATACCAAAAGATAAAAAAATTAAAATAGTAAAAATAAATAGACAAGATCTGTGAATCTTACCCACGTCAGGTCACAGGTCCTACAGAGAACGCTACAATAGGAAGAGATGTTTACACTTAGGGAAGATTGCTTGGTCTAGATTTGTTCTCCTTTGTGATTGATATGAGAAAAAACTTTTTTGATGATTAATGAAACCACAAGATGATCCAACCACTTTTAACAACCACTAACTCTGCGCCACGTGTACATCTCCAAAGATTCTATCTCTCCCCTCTCAGTCTCACCACCAAGATATAGTCTCATTAGCCTTGCCTCCTTTCTAATTACAATCTCTCCTTTTGCCAATAATCATTGCTTAGAAAAAACACATTGCTTCTTCTTAGTAATAATGTTGAAAGAAGAGAGTAACGAGAGTGGTACTTGGGCACGAGCATGTGACACTTGTCGTTCAGCCGCCTGCACTGTCTACTGTGAAGCTGACTCTGCCTACTTGTGCACCACCTGTGATGCTCGAGTTCACGCAGCCAACCGTGTTGCTTCTCGCCATGAACGTGTTCGTGTCTGCCAGTCATGTGAGTCTGCCCCGGCTGCGTTTTTGTGTAAAGCAGACGCTGCGTCTCTTTGCACAGCTTGTGATGCTGAGATTCATTCCGCAAACCCACTAGCTAGACGTCATCAACGAGTTCCGATTCTGCCATTATCTGCAAACTCTTGCAGCTCCATGGCTGCAAGCGAAACTGATGCAGATAACGATGAGGATGACCGAGAGGTGGCTTCGTGGTTACTGCCTAATCCAGGGAAAAACAGCGGTAATCAGAACAATGGGTTCTTGTTTGGTGTTGAGTACCTTGATCTTGTGGATTACAGCTCCAGCATGGACAACCAATTTGAAGATCATCAGTACAGTCACTACCAGAGGAGCTTTGGAGGAGATGGAGTTGTGCCACTTCAAGTTGAAGAATCAACAAGTCACCTTCAACAAAGCCAACACAACTTTCAGTTGGGTATCAACTATGGCTTCTCCTCAGGAGCTAACTACAACAACAACTTCTTAAAGGACCTAAACCATAGTGTAAGATTCTTATATAAATGCCAGCTCTTTAGTTCACAATAATCAGTATGCATGTTGTTTCATCACTAGTATGCTTCCCTATTCATCGATTATTTACTCCTATTACCTCGGAAGATTGAAACTGTCTTTGTTTCTGTCATTAGGCATCCGTTTCATCAATGGACATCAGTGTTGTGCCAGAGTCAACAGCAAGTGACATAACAGTCCAACACCCAAGAACAACTAAAGAGACGACAGACCAACTAGCTGGTCCTCCTACTCAGGTGGTGCAGCAGCTTACTCCAATGGAGAGGGAGGCTAGGGTCCTGAGATACAGAGAGAAGAAGAAGACGAGGAAATTTGACAAGACAATAAGGTATGCTTCAAGAAAGGCATATGCAGAGATAAGACCACGGATCAAGGGCCGATTTGCAAAGAGGATAGAAATTGAAGCTGAGGCTGAAGAAATCTTCTCAACATCGCTAATGTCTGAGACTGGATATGGAATTGTTCCTTCCTTCTGAACTCGTTTGGCGAAGATGGACTAGATTGCATGCTGTAAATTACTTCTAGTTTGTATTTCTACAAGTTTTTACCACAGTTTCGCATATGGATCCAATAGTTTTGTGACTTTTGTCTAACTATTACGAGTTTAATCAGATATGTTTCTATAGCTGCAGTTGTTTAAGCAACATCTCTCTACATAGTCTAATTGGTGAAATCTTATCTTATGGAACAGTGCCTATCACTCTAATTGAATTGGTGCCACATGGAAGAGATATGCATCAGTATGAGTAGCTGTAAGTAGAAAACTAAAAGCGGATTTCACGTTTTCACTTCACAAGAAAGACGACGCCTAGTAGGTTCAAAGTAATTACCTTTTGATCATTTTGCTGGCAGTAGAATCTTCTGTTTCTTGACACTTTCCTGATCACTAGAACACATAAAATCGCAGGACAGTTACATTGATGCCAGCTCATTCCCTGAGGAAGGATTACTCAGAATAGCATGACTTGTAATTAAAACAATTAAACTGATAACATAGAACAACTTTGTCCACACAAACTTAAGAAACTTCAAAAACCAACATGCAAATCGGCGATTATTGTCATTTTCGGTCAATGGGAATCATAACTTTACTTATTCAGCCAAGTGGGAGTAAGACAGTGAAGAAACTGAGAACCCTAGGGCCAGCACCGAATATACACCAGCAACTAGCATAGGATGTTGATGATGATGCCTATGCCAAAGTAAAGAAAGATAATTCTTTTTCTTTGCCTTTTGGAATAAAGGACTATACTTTCTCACTTTTTATGGTATGTGCTGACAGTAAAGGATGATAGAGCAACGAAAAAGAAAACACGACATTCTAACTAAGCCTTACTGTTTTCCCATCTGGAAATGTTCACAGAGTTCAACATGAGATTGCATAACTTCATAATTTGATGTTTAAGCTGATGGTGTCTTTGTTTACCACACTCAAAAACACTGGAACAAAAGTACTGTATTTCCTAATTTATCAGAGATCTGAACACAGTGATTACTTACCAAAATAAAGAGCTTATATCACAACCAATATGTGTAACTTTGAAATGAAATGTCCTAATAGCAAGACAAATTACAAAATTATGCATAGTCTACTACTGTCCTATAACATCATAAGATTTTTATAAAAGTGAGTGATAGTCTAAGTGGAATCATAGAAACCGTCAGACATACAAGAAGTAATAAAAACCAATCTAAGACCGAATTGAGTGTTAATACAGTATATAGTATATACTATATAGTAATGGGATCGACACCTCAAGTGAAAGTGCATCAAAGTGACGACCCTTTCCAAAAAGGTTACTGCACTTTTCCAGATATCTAATCAACTTAAAAATCATAGCCATAAAGTTGAGAAGGGATGGTAAAAGCGTTTACCAGACTTTTTAAAAAGCAAAAACTCTTTTCATCAGTTGCATAGAGCTCAAGCAAGCCACACCCACTAGAGCGCCGTAGATTCCTCTTATTATGGACCACAAAATAGACGGATTCGATCGATCCACTGATCCAAAAGCGTCTAACTGAAGCTACTTCTTAGATTATCAGATTATCGTGTTTAGAGATCAGGTTTGCAAATCAAAGATATTGGCAGTTGCATTCACATAACAATGGCAGATGACCAAAGAAGAAAATCGAAGCACTAGTAGTTACTAAAATCATGATGTAGCACAAAGTGAGTTATAGACAGACAATTAAGAAAACATGCGCCTTAAAAATCTCATTCAAGGAAGCTTTTATTTTTTTTGGAGCCTTTTACAATTCCTACTACGCCTGTAGAGAAACATAAAGTTGTACATATTACCTCGTCAATGAGTCCGCCAAGTTACTCCAAGTGTTTGCAAACTCTCAGTCACTCAGTTTTGTCACCTTTGTCTGATAACACGAGCATTCCGTTTTCTTTTGTCACATTTATGGTAAGACAAGGAGGTCTATGGAATTGAAGGAAAAGAAACTGGCACGGCCTTCAACGATATGACAGAACATCAATGGTGAAGCTACACGCTTTTGCAGGACTTCAATTTCTTCTTTACTTGGTGGAGAGTCTCTGTATAAAAGAAAGAGTACATTGACTAAGATTTGTTATGAGAAAAATAGCTGTTGTCGTTTCAAGTAAGAAAAAAAAAAAAGCTTACCCCGAGAAGCAAGCGACAAAGCTCGGTTCACCAGGAGAAGACTTCTTGAAGTGGCTGTTTGGCAAATACACATCAAACACCGGTCTTGCATCACAGATCTGCATATCACTCAGGCGTTTGGTAATAGAGTCTTTGTCTTGAGAAAATTCTCCAGCACAAAGTGACTCATCTTCATCACTTGGTGTAGTATTCACAACATCTTTTGTAGTCCAAGGAACTCCATGCCTGCCTAGAATGTAACCTAGACCCTTTAAGTATCTATAAACCTCGTAGTCTTCCCAACAGCAGCCACATTTTCCCTCTGCAATCTCCCTATACAAGTCCTTCAGTGAGATCACTACGTCATCCTCATCACCCAAGAGCTGCAACTCTCCAATTTCACTCAAATACCTTCAACAGAAAGAACAGATTTCGAAAAAAAAAAGAAACTTGATCAGGTTATTTGAGTAAACACTGCAAACTTAACAAAAAAAACTTGCAGTGTTTCGTTCGACACATACAGAGCCTCCTCTATGAAGCAATATGTTTTTCCGGTACGGATAATTCCAGTTGTCGTCCAAAGTTTCCCCCTTTTGAGCTCAACTTCGGCCATTCCTAATTCAGCAATCCAACGAGCCTTGGAAGATCCTACTCTACAATGTTCAAACACAAAAAAAGAGAGAGAAAACGATAGTAAGAAACATTAGCTTAACGCGGACAATCATATCCTGAAACAAGTCGCTCCACCTGAATTGAAATTTGGGCACTGAACCACCAAATTGATATTCTTCGTCATCATTGCATAGTAAACCAGCTTCTTTTTCGCTTTCCGAGTCCTTCTCCTCCATAGCTGAGATCAGTTTCCGTCGTTCAAAAGGAAACGAAGTCGCTGAGGCAATTCGTCGAACACTTGGCGTAAAGGTAAAGATATATTTCTTAAAGTCTTCAACTTTCACAGGTTGTACGAGAACGAATTACTCCATGCGAACGAATTACACTAACGGGACGACGACGATCATCGGAAGTTTGATTTTCTGTTTTGCTGGAGACTCGAAATTTGCAATGACGTATCTACTTAGTCGGAAAAGTTTTTATGGGCCGACCAAATAACTAAGCCCATCTCATAAACACCCAAAAAGGAGCCTATGAAATCAAAAGTAAGAAATTAATTATAGCCAAAGTCAAAGATTTTAATCTTAAGAAAAAGAAGAAACACAACTCGAAAACTCAGTTCTACAATCATAAATAAGCCAATGTATTTCTTCACACACTGAGGAAACAAACATTCTGTGTGAAAATTATTATTGAAGGAGAAGAATACAAAGAGGGGGAGAGATCTCAGATCTTGGATTGTCTTGCAATCTTGAACCACTCGGTGTGGAAAGACCCTTCCACATCAGTCCTTTCATATGTATGAGCACCAAAGTAGTCTCTCTGTGCTTGGACTAGATTTGCCGGCAATCTCTCTCTCCTGTAAGAATCAAAGTAGGCTAGACTCGCAGACATACCCGGTGTGCTAATACCCGAGTTGATAGCTAAGCAGACGACTCTTCTCCAAGCGCACTGTCTCTCGATTATCTCTTTCGCAAACTCAGGGTCGACCAAGAGGTTAGCTAGCTCTGCGTTCCTATCATAAGCTTGCTTGATCCTGTCTAGGAAGATTGCTCTGATGATGCATCCCCCTTTCCAGATTCTAGCTAACTCACCTAGCTTCAAGCCCCACCCTTTTTCAATGCTCTTGGCACGGATAAGGTTCATGCCTTGCGCGTAGCTGCAGATTTTGGACGCGTAAAGAGCCTTCCTCACATCATCGACTAGCTGCTTCTTGTCAACTTTCTGATCGGTCAAGATATCTCCAAACCCACCTGCCTTGAAGACTTTAGCTGCTTGCACACGTTCATCTTTAAGCCCACTGAGGAACCTCGCATCAAGAGAGGATTCAATGGTGGGGGCAGGAACAGATAGCTCAGCAGCTTGCTGCACGGTCCACTTTCCTGTACCTTTCATGCCGGTTTTGTCCAAAACCTTGTCAACCAAATGCCCATCTCCCTTATCGTCCTTGATCCCGAAAATATCCGCTGTGATCTCTACCAAGAAACTCTCAAGCTCACCTTTGTTCCAGTCAGAGAAGACACTGTGAAGCTCCTCATTCGTTAATTTACCAACAGATTTCAGGACGTCGTAAGCTTCTGCGATCAGCTGCATATCACCGTACTCGATCCCATTGTGGACCATTTTGACAAAGTTTCCAGACCCGCCCTTACCGATGTAAGTAACGCAGGGACCACTATCCCTAACCTGAGCAGCAACCTTGAGAACAATGTCCTCAATATTCTTGTAGGCTTCATAAGAGCCTCCAGGCATCATAGATGGGCCATTACGAGCACCTTCTTCACCGCCAGAAACTCCCATTCCAAGGTAGAGGAAACCGTTCTCAGCCACGGCTTTCTCTCTCCTCTCAGTGTTCTCATACCATTCATTACCACCATCAACAATGCAATCGCCCTTCTCCAAATAAGCAGAGAGGGTCTTGATGGTCTGGTCAACGGGAGCGCCAGCCTTAACAAGCATGATAATAACGCGGGGCTTCTGAATGGACTTGACAAAAGACTCGGGGTCATGGAAGCCGTAAAGAGGAAGATTGCCTTCCTTTTTGGCTCGTTCGACGGTCTCATCAACTTTGGAAGTTGTTCTGTTGTAAACAGAGATTGGGAAGCCTTTCTCAGCAATGTTGAGAGCTAGGTTCTGACCCATCACAGCCAGTCCAGCTAGACCAATTCTTGTAGGTTGAACAGCCATTTTTCTTGGTCTTCTTCGCTCTGCCAAAACAAATCTCAAATCTAAGAAAGATTTTGCGCCAAGTGATGTATAAAAAAGAAACAGCTTCATGCATGATTGATCTAAAATAAAGGCAAAGATTCAAACCAGGAATAAGATCTCCAAGATCTTAGAACACAGAGTCAATACATCAACATGACAAATCTCAATTTTTTTTTTTTTGTTTACGATCGTTGCGTAACATACACTAACA